ACTGGCAGACAACTGGGGGAAGAAGTTTAAAATGATATATTTTAAAAGTGTTGAATAAAAAACAAAAATAATATCTAAGAAACGTTCCGAATTTCATTATTTTCTTTGTAAATTTCTAAATACTTGCTTACTGTTAGGGTATGATAGTCGAGTGAACAAATAATATGGCCCTATATAACCTGTTTTAAAAACAAATTCAGTATCATTTAACTTAGTATAACATCAAAAGAAAAAGAAATTTTTATTACAACATGTTTTTGGTGTATATATGACAATACATTTAGTATAACACTGATATTTCTCAAGAAAGCGTGGTAATTTTGACAGTTGGCATATGCGGTAACCATCGAAACTAACACGTCAACATACGAGGGGTGTTCCAGAATTACGTGGACTTTTGCTATAACTTTTTTATTTTTTAATGCTTTTTTTTTAGCAAATTTGTACACAATACCTTTTACATATCCTTAATGAATATGTCCATTATTTTTAAATTTCTAACATTGCTTCTCTATATTTTACGTCGCTATAGTAACGCATTATGCGCAGGGCGGGGCAGTCCAATATTTTGTATTAATAAGTTGTCTTTACTTTCGTATATCTTGCGTATTTATACCTAAAAAATGGCGCGACGTCGTAAGAATATGCAGTGACGTCATATGAACGTTCGTTTGAAATTTTGACGTCATAGCTGTTTCCGTTATTGTTTACCAGCGGACAACTGACAACCGTTGCTCTTGGATATTTAACAAAAAAATGACGTCCACGCTATTACGCGGAACATCGGAATATCATCAAGTTTTGTGTTAATCTTGGAAAGACACCAACACAGACGCAGGAAATGTTGAAGACTGCAAAAGTGAGACCTCCTGTTTGTCGATCACTCGTTTTCAAGTGGCATAAGCGTTTTCGAGACGGCCGGGAGGACATTGAAGACGACAAGGGTCGTGGGAGAAAGTCAACGTTGATTGCAGCGTCAATTAAGGAAGTCAAGGACGTCATAGATCGGGACAGGCGTTACACTGTATATTTTGTGTTTAAAAAAAAATGATTTTTAAAAATTAAGCTTATCACAATTTACTATTTTAAACGCAATTTATCCGCTTCAGCTTTTAAGAAAGTGAACTCAAACTGCTATATTAAGCAGTGCATGATAGGTTATTTCCCTTGTTAACGCACACTGCCTTTGCGTACAAAATACACAATAATAATAATAATAATGATAATAATAATAATGATAAATAATAATAATAATAATACGGCGTCAGCATTATCACCGTCGTCTTTAACACTATTATCGTAACAAAAGTTAATAGTATGCTTTATTATTATTATTATTATTATTATCAGTGGTGGCTGATTTCGACCAGGAGTGGTACAGGGCGGTGTACGACCAGTGGATATATCGACACCATAGGTGTATTGAGTTAGGCGGCGACTATGTTGAGGAAAACTGACATTCGACGCCACGCATTTATTAACAACTAGCGACGCCACCGGAATGACGTCGTAACGTCGGAATGGACTGTCCCGCACCCGCTACCCCTTGTCTCATTACCCTGCCCACAGACACTGATCCAGTTGCCGGGCAACTTTGAAATTTTTTTGTACTAATGCAATAAAGTTGCATTTTGTTCATGTTAATTTTGTTTGTTTTTATTTTCAGTAGTTTTTGAGTTACAGCAAAAGTCCATGTAATTCTGGGACACCACTCGTATATTTGTAGTTCTATTTTTTAATCCACCATAAAATTTAACTTGATATATCAAAAATGTAGAAAATTCTATGAAAGAAATTTCTTGATAGCTTTAATTTTTTTACAGAATTCATGTTTATTTTTCTCATTTTTTGTTTAGTTAAAGAGCATGAAAAACTCTTTTTTTAAAGAAATATGTTCCAATTATCGTTTGTTTTATACAGAACCCTAAATTAAAGCAAGCTTTGTATAAAATTATGTTTATTGTGTGTGTAATAAGTTGCCTTATACATTTTTATAACACAGTTTGGCTATTTTGACAATTTTGAGATGTACGCTTACCCTGGAAACTGCCATTTTTCAAAAAATCAAACACGTCAACATATATTTTTCTTTTTATTTTTGAATTCGTCATTAAATTTTACACAACATACAAAAAAAATAGAAAATCCTATGAAATAATTTTTTCAATATCTTTAATTATTCACAGAATTCATGTTAATTTTTCTCATTTTTTGTTCGGTTAAGGAACATGAAAAACTCATTTTTTAAAGAAATATGTTCAGATTATCATTTGTTTCATACAGTATCATAAAAAAGGTTATTGTTGCATAAAACAATGCTTGTTGTGTGTATTAAGCTATCTTATTCATTTTCTATTTGTTTTAACACAGTTTGACTATTTTGACAGTTTTGAGATATACGGTTACCATGGAAACTGCCATTTTTCAAGAAAGCCAACACGTCAACAAAAACTTTTTATTTTTGAATTCGCCATTAAATTTTACATATCATACCAAAAATTTAGAAAATTCTATGAAAGGATTAAATTTTCATAAAACTGTAGAAAATGTCTTTAAAATCATTTATATGTCGTTTTTTATGTTTTCAGAAATTGGTAATGCTTAATTGAAAAGTTGGTATTTAAGAAATGTATTTCAATGTTAGATACCACAATTTTTATCAAGTAGGAATGCTTTTGTTTGAATCAATTACAGTAAAAACCCTCAATTAAGACCACTATCGGGACTGGACCAAAGTGGTATTAATTGTAGGTTGGTCTTAATTATGAATATTCTTATTATTGCTTACACACTTTTTGACCATGGTCTATTTAAGTTATTTTGTATGAACAAACAGTTTGATTCTTAACCTACAACTACAATATTAAACTAAGTTATTATTTAACATCTGATTGGAAGAAAGAAATTTAATATCAAATTCTATTTGGTCCTTTTTCAATATTGATTATTATGTGACCCATCACATAAGAAATTAATTCTTCGCATTATCAATGTGCTTAAAGCAACATTCAAACTCTCTAAAATTTACTTCCTCACCTTATTTCATATAATATCCCAATGATATCAGGTGTTTTGACGGAAGACGGACAAAACCCCACCAGTCAAAACCCTACACCTCAAAATTTTATAAAGTGGACAAAACCCCACACCTTAATTTTACAGAGTTGACAAAACATTACACCTTCAATTTTACAGAGTGGACTAAACCCCACAACTTTATCTATTGGGCAAGATTTGATGGATTAACATACATATAATATACGTACATATATCTTAATATAATATAACACATTATTAGTCCCCTACCGGTTTAACCGGAGGGGACTTTAGGTTTACCCTCCGTCCGTCTGTCCGTCTGTCTGTCTGTCCGTCCGTCAGTCCGTCCGTCCACAAAACTGGATCCCGCGATAACGCAAAAAGTACTGAAAATATTTTTATGAAACTTGATATATGGATAGATGGCAGTATGGAGATTATGCACGTCTTTTTTTTTCTTCCTATGTTGAAAATTCTGGTTGCTATGGCAACAAATAGTCTGAAAATATGGCAAATTTAACACATAAACTGGATCCAGTGATAACTCAAAAATACTGAAAATATTTTCATGAAACTTGAAATATGGGTAGATGGCAGTCTGGAGATTATGCACATCTTTTTCTTTTCTTCCTATGTTGAAAATTCTGGTTGCTATGGCAACAAATAGCCTGAATTTCAAGATTTCTGATTTAAATTTTTCAGCTTTTTCACTATATGTTCTTTATTTCTTGAGGTGTTTACTTCAAACTTTAAATATAAGTTTCTGGTCATCAACCACATCATATGTGACAAGGTTTATAACTCTAGCACAAAAATATCAGTATTACCTCCCTTGAACTTAGATTTTTTAGGGGAAAAAATGTTGTCTTTTTTAAATAACGTCTTTATTTCCTAATGTATCTACTTCAAACTTCATATATATGTTTCTTATTATCACTCGACATTTTTGAGAAGGTTAAATACTCTAGCAAGACTATTTCCAGAATTATGTCCCCCTTGAACTTAGATTTTTTTCGAGAAACTGGTATTTTCACTCCAACTTCTTCATTCTTTATAGGATTTACTTTAAAATCCCACATCGTAATAATATGACAAGGTTGTATAAACATAATTTCCTTACTAAGCATGGAAACTTAACACATTACTGTGATATAGACAAACTTATTTTATTATGTTTTGTGGTCGATATTTTCAAATACAGACTTCATCCTCAAATTCATTATAAATGGCAATACACAGGAGTGTATGACAATTAAAGAACTTTTTGAGGGACCGGTAGGGGACTACTGTATTGCCCGCAATACTATCAAATGCTTGTTTTAATTTTTTTTTCAAATGCATCTTAAATTACATTCGTGTTTGACACCTTGTGAAATCAAGTGTCATGCCTAATAGCATTCAAACGAATAACAACATAACAATAAATTTAACATATAGGTAGCTTTTGACTTTAAATCAGTGGTCTCAATAGTGGAGTCAGATAAAGAATAAAACAAAGAATTGGGACTAAATCTGGTGGTCTTAAAAGTGGATAAGCGAGGTGGTCTTATTTCTGGGTCATCAAACCATTGAGGTAAAGAACAGAAAATTCCGTACTTTTTAAAAATGGCCTTAATAACGGGGCGGTCTTAATTCCGGGGTGGTCTTAAGTAGCGATTCTACTTTATTATACTATGGTCTTCGTGCCTGATCATTTGACACATTTTTTCATTTTCTTTCATTTCAAATGCTGAAAAAATGACATTGACCCCCGAAATGCACCAGACACTTTAACTTAATGGCAAAGTCCAATCAATAGAAAAAAAGGTTCCTGCTTTTTAGTGTAATGGGGTGGATATCAGTTTTACACAAATGAATCTTGTTACTCCTGTTATTTGTTTTCCAGTCTTGTCCATACACTAAAATCAAATGAATATGCAAAATATTTTTGTACACAAAAAAGTCAAGTATGATATTTTTTACAGATGATTGATAGAGATGTTACTGAGGAGAGAGATCCAGAAAAATGTCATCTATGTATGGTAAATCCTAAAGGTAGTTATGATCTTTAGAATGCATTCTTATTTTGGATATATTCTCTAATCAAAAATAACATGTAGCAAAAGTAATTGCAATTTGCTATTTTTATTCTGAAGAAACTTAGAAACTGGTACTGAGTTCGTACATTGATATCGTACATAATCATTGATACCATTTTACAATTGAACGTACATGTAACCCGACAAAAAATGGCAGATGGCGAGCCCATTTATGCAGCCGTGTTGAATTTTTGACGTCCATTTTTGTTACCATGTGAAATTAAATTATTCATTCTGACTAACTAAAGACAGGCGTTGTAGGTCTACAGGAAGAATTGTTCTAATTTTGTTAATTGTATATAACACAGATAATAAACTAATTTACTATCTTACCAAACGCTGGAATGGAAAGGACAATAGTATTGAAATTATACTTTTAAAACAACAACTCTTATACCAATAAAAACTGAGCAGCAATGTTCCTTGCATAAAGCCCTTTAGAAATTGTTCACAAAAATTCATTCTGTCCTAAAAAAAACTTAAAACATCTTGTTGTAAAAAAAACAAAAAGGATAGTGCTTAGATAAATGGCATGAAAAGTCTTCTTGGGGATGTCTACCAAGTTTGTTCAAATTAAAGCTCTATGGTCAAATTTTGCCCCGCCCCAGTTGGTCATTGATTTTCCTTATATGTATATAGTAAAAACTATAAAAAAAATCTTAACGAGATAATCCAAAAACCGAAGGAGCTAAAGTTTAGATATTTAGAATGAAACTGGATGTTTACCAAGTTTGTTCAAATAAAAGCCTCGAGATCAAAAACTGATTTAGGGATTGGCCATATACATATAGCCATTTCAGTACATTCCATTAATGGCTAAATAACCTCCCTTTAATAAGATTTAGTAAAGATTTGCATTCATACGAAGAAAATGAATAAGATTTTTTAATTATAATTTTTATATTTATGGTTATTTAGAAATGAAGAAAATATTTATCTAATAAAAATATGTCTTTTGATCTTCTTGATCACAATCATCTTTACGAATAACTGCAGCAGTATATATATTAAGAAAATCTCAATTTTAGTACAGGGCCTCCGTGGCCGAGTGGTTAAGGTCGCTGACTTGAGATCACAGATCCCTCACCGCTGTAGGTTCGATCCTCACTCGGGCCGAAATCTTTAATGTGTGGAAGTCATCCAGCTGGCTTAAGTCGGTGGTTCTACCCAGGTGCCCCTCGTGCCTGAAATAATGCCCGGAAGGGCACTTGGGGTCTTCCTCCACCAATAAAAGTTGGAAAACAATCGACGAAAATCGGCAACAAGTACTAGTAAACTCCTTGACAGCCTGCCCAGGAACGATGCGGTGGTGCTTTGGTGAAATCAATGTGGCTTACTGTTGTGATCCGGATAGCAACACCACCATCATGTTAGCACCTGTGACTGCAAAGGATAATACACAAAGTATAAACTAACGCATGGCTGCTATCGTAAATACTACTATTCACTATGGTGAATTCAGGAATACACATCCTGACCACATTAAATGCTGATAAGCCCCAGCTATCTGTACTTCTAAAAATGCAATATAAACTGCAGTTATGCTCTATGTTTTAACCCTGTAACCTAAATTTTATAATGATCTTATGCTCATGCAGTGGACCTCTACAATTGTTTTTTAAATAATAGCCCTCAGGTCTAATTTGGTAGGGCCCTGGGAAACATAAATTTTCCATTTATGTATATGGCAAAAACTTAAGATATCTCTAAATTTACAGAAGTTAAAGCTTAGTTACCATAGCATCCAGTGACTTCTGGCAGCCATTGGCTTTATAGAACTGTAAAATTTCATAGCAACCAGTGACTTCCATAGCAAACATCATCTTATTTACATTGAATTTCAAAGCAGGCACTGACTGACTTATAAGGAAACCATTTCATTCATACAGCAATCAGTGACTTCTTATGTAACTTGTCATCCAGTAATCTAGTAATGTTTTTAAATGTGCACTATTTCAGATACAAATGAAGATTTAATTTTTATGCCCCCCCCCCCCCCCTTCGAAGAAGAGGGGGTATATTGTTTTGCTAATGTCTGTCGGTCTGTCCGTCGGTAGACTACATGGTTCCTGCTGATTATCTTGAAAAGAATTTATCACAAAGTCTTCATATTTAACATAGTGAAATAAGTAGTAGATGATCCCTATTGATTTTCGGGTCACTAGGTCAAAGGTCAATGTCACAGGGGCCTTAAATGTCAAAATGGTTTCCGCTGATTATCTTGAAAAGTATTAATCACAAAGAAGTCATATTTCACATATTGATTGGTCATAACTAGTAGATGACCCCTATTGATTTTGGGGTCACTAGGTCAAACGTCAGGGTCATAGGGTCTTTGAATGGTAGAATGGTTTCGGCTCATTATCTTGAAAGATAATAATCACAAAGTCTTCATATTTCACATAGTGATTGGTCATAACCAACATATGATCCGTATTGCTTTTGGGGTCACTAGATCAAAGGTCAAGGTCACAGGGGCCTTAAGTGTCAGAATGGTTTCCGCATATTATCTTGAAGATTTTTTATCACAAGTAAGTGAACCTATTGATTTTGGGGTGAGTAGGTCAAAGGTAAAGTTCACATGTTACTTGAATGTCAGTTTGGTTTCCGCTGATTATCTTGAAAAATATTTATCAAAAAGTCCTCATATTTGTAGTGTTGATTGGTAATACCTATTAGATGACCCCTATTGATTTTGGTTCACTAGTTCAAAGTTCTAGGTCACAGGGACCTTAAATATCTTATTATCTTGAAAACTATTTATCACAGAGTCTTCATTATTTTTCTGTTTTCCATAATTGAACACTTCCATGTACCCATTTACAAGTTTCTGTAACAAAATTACCAATTATGTGAGTCAAGGGCTAGGAAGGAGGGCATATGTGTCGTTTGACATTCTTGTTTATATTTGCTTTTGTTTATAGTTTACAATATAACTTGTTCCTTGTCTTCGGAAGTATAAATATTCAAGTGAGCCCCTTGGGTGGGGTCAATATTGAAGCAAGAGGCATGATTCGTATCATTTTTGTAAAGGTCTCTAAGTTAATGTAATATGCTAAACATCTAAGCTCTAAACATTGTAGTTTCTGACAATAAAACTTAAATGTGTTTTCCTATGGAATGATCCCCAGTGTGAGGCTAATTTTGATAAAAAAAAGCCAAATCTGTGTCCTGCATATTGTCTCATTATAAGTAATATGATCAATTCGAAATTTATACAAAATGATTACGTTTGACCTTGACATTGACCTGAGGGAGGTAAAACCTGTGTTCTGCTCATTAGTTTTCTTCGTTATGATTAACATTTCGGCCAAAAGGTTTCAATTTCCTTCAACTAGTTCAAAAATACATTTTCTATGTTAGTCCATTATATCAAGTTATTTCGAGGGTTGGCCGATTTTTTTATCAAGAAGACCAAGTCTGTGTTATTCAAATAGTCTATAAGTACTATTTCTGCTTAAAAGTGTTAATTTATTTCTTAAGTTTAAATAGATACAGAGCGGATACTAAGTTTTTATATAAATACAAACTAACTGTGACCTTGACCTGAAGAAGGTCACACCTGGGATCTGCTCATCATCTCATTTTGTTTAACATTTCTGCCAATTAGTTTCAATTTTCTTCCACCGATTCAAAATATACAGGATGACTAGACATATAAAGAGCAGTAAATTTAGTTATTTTTTTCTTAATTAATACCGGTACTTAAATGAAATTTATTTAATATTGCCACACTTATGTAACTTTTTTATAACCTCAGCTGGAGATGTAGAGGTTGCCAACCATCACTGCATTAATGTATGTGTATCCTGCGAAAAAACTAGTTTTCTGAATCCAATAAGATGCCATTGTGGCAATGAAATACGACCAAGGATTGGTAAGTACATTTGTTTGCAAAACACCTGTCAAAAATCCATTTAATTATATGCGTTCTTGTGTGTATGCGTGTGCTAACTTAAAAATCTTCTTGTTAAAAATCACCATCTTGTAAAAGACCACTAGTCCAAAAATAAACCAAATTAGCCAGGATTGTTCCTTGGGTGAAAGGCTTCCAAAGTTATTCAAAGAATTTAATTCTATCCATGAATCTGGTTGCCATGATACCAAAATTATTATCAAGTAAGAAAACTTTTATTTTTAATGAAATATAACTATGTTACAGCCTTTGTATCTGAAGATCGACACATCTGCACATGTCTTTCATTTGACATGCTGGAATATAATCATTGACCAATAAATTTACTACTAGACACTTCTGCCTTATGGCAAAGTTCATTAGAAGCAACAAAAAAACTACATCTGTTCCCACTATTTAGTATTATATTATTGCGTGGCAAAGCTGTCACAAATGCAATCTTGTTTACTTCTACGTTTAATCTGGAAGTTTTGGCAATTTGAATAATTTATTGTGTCGCCTCTACGGAGTAGTGGCGACATATAGGGATCACTTCTCCGTCGTCTGTCTGTCCGTCTGTCTGTCTGTCTGTCCGTCCGTCACAAAACTTGTTCGGACTACTCCTCATAAACTACTGGTGCAATTTCATCCAAACTTTACAGGAATGATCAGTACCAAGTCTAGTTGTGCATATTGTCAGCATTTTCCGGTTCAATGATTTTTGTCAGAGTTATGGCCCTTTAATAATTTTTATTTTTAAAGTTTGTCTACTACTTCTCTTATACCACTAATGCAATTTCAATGAAACTTTTTAGGATTGATCTGTAGCTCAAGACCTTGCGCATATTGCACGGGTTTTCCGGTTGAATGATTTTTGGCCGAGTTATGGCCCTTTGATAAAAAGGTGTTTTTTTCTGTGTGTTGCCAGATACACAAAAGCTTGTCCGGACTACTCCTCATAAACTACTGGTGCAATTTTATCCAAACTTTACAGGAATGATCAGTACCAAGTCTAGTTGTGCACTGTCCGTCTGTCTGTCCGTCTGTCACAAAACTTGTCCAAACATGAAATTGGCCATCATGAGGCGACACGTGTGATCACTGATCGCTCTTGTTTCTGAATGTATTTTCTTCATACATAGATATAATGGCCTTGACCCATAAATGACCTTGACCTTTAAGGTATATATTTTAGCTCATCTGTCACAAAGTGACATGTTGAGCTTTTGTGATCGCTTTTCGTCCGGCGTCCGGCCGTAAACTTTTACTTTAAACAACATCTCCTCATTAACCGATGAGCCAATTTCATCCAAAATTCACAGGAATGTTCCTTTGGTAGTCAACTTTAAAAATTGTTCAAAAAATTTAATTCCATGCAGAACTCTGGTTGCCATGGCAACCAAAAGAAAAAACTTAAAATATCTTCTATTAGAAAACCGAAAGAGCTAAAGCTTAAATATTTAACAAGAGACATCATCTTGTCAGTGTCTACCAAGTTTGTTAAAATAAATGCCCTGGAGTCAAAATTGGCACCGCCCGGGGGTCATTGATTTTCCTTATTTGTATATAGTAAAAACTTAAAAAATCTTCTTTTAAAAAAAAAACAAATAGCTAGAGTTTAGATATTAAGCATGAAACATCTTCTAGTGGGTGTCCACCAAATTTGTTCAAATAAAAGCCCTTGGGTAAAAATTGGCTCAGCCCCAGGGGGTCATTGATTTTCCTTATTTTTATATAGTAAAAACTTAACAAATCTTCTTTTAAAAACCCTAAAGAGCTTGAGCTAAGATATTTAACAAAAACATCTTCTTAAGGGTGTCTACCAAGTTTGTTCAAATAAGGGCACTTGGGTTAAAATTGACCCCGCCCCAGGGGATCATTGAATTTCCTTATATATGTATAGTAAAAACTTCAAAAATAATCTTCTTATAAAAACACCAAAGAGCTAGAGTTTAGATTATAAGCATGAAATATTTTCTAGTAAGTGTCTACTAAGTTTGTTAAATTAAAAGTCCTGGGGTCAAAATTGGCCCCTCCCGGGGGGTCATTGTTTTTCCCAATATTCATATAGTTAAAACTTTAAAAATCTTATTAACACCCAAAGAGCTAGAGCTTAGATATTTATCATAAAACATCTTCTAATAGGTGTCTACCTAGTTTGTTCAAATAAAAGCCCCTGGTTTAAAATTGACATTGGCCCAGGGGCCTATATACAGGTGAGCGATTTTAGGGCCATAATGCCCCCCTTGTTTTAATTCTGATTGCTTTTTGGTTTAACTGGCACATTATATTGATGACTGGATAGTCTTAAAACTGCGAAATAACATTTCTTTAAGTAGACTTAATTGACCGTTACTAATGCATGATATTTAAGGTCAAGTCTATCTTTTTAACTGACTATAACACAGGGGCTGCCACATGCTACACAGTAGCAAGGACATATGGGGATCACTTATCTCTCATGTGTCTATCTCTCTGTCTGTCCGACTGTCCGTCTGTCACAAAATATGTCAGGAATTTCATCAAAACTTTACAGGAATGATCAGTGTAAAATCTAGTTGTATCGTCTGCATTTTCTAGTTCAATTAGTTTTGTCAGAGTTATGGCCCTTTATTTATCTAATGTGTTTATTATCTAACGTGTTAAAGTTTGGCCAGGCTGCTCTTGTATCACTGACGTAATTTGAAATGTAAAAAGATTGATTGGTATCTCAATTACTTGCACATATTACATGGGTTATTGTTTTGCTGAGGTAATGCCCTTGAATAAAAAGACATTAAGGGACAGTGATAATTTTTATTGATAATTCTTAAATTTTCCATACAAAAAACACTCAAATATCCATACAGTCAATACATTTCCAGCAAAATGTAATTGGCTGTTACCAGCCAACACGTGATCATTTATAGCTCTTTAATTATATTGGACTTATTTGATTTATACTAGGACAAAACAACATTAAAAATTAAGATTTAAACTTTATCTTTAAATATAATTGACTGTCAAGGTCAGATATGAAATTAAATTATATTTATACAAAAAATGATGCTCCCCCTGGATCATTGCAAACTGTTTGCAAAGTGACAAAATGTTAAAGATAAAAATAACGAACAAAAACATTTCAAATTGTTTAATTTGTTGTAAGCAACTTTGGAGATGCCGACTGTTTCAAAATACTTTTACTTAAAGTACAAACATTTATAAAATACAATTGTAACGTCAAAGGATAAGCGTTATCATCTTCATTTCCAACAGCATGAACAACACAAACATATATAATAAAACATCTTAACTTGGCGCAACTTCATATTTTAAGATTTGTTAGATATTAAAATTAGAATTTTCTTCAGTCATTATCGTCGACTGTCCTAGCGCTGAATGACCACGTTGTACATTACACCAGAGAAACTCATGCGCTACACAGCGCCACCTATTGCAAACAATTACAACGAAACAAGGGGAAATAGTTATCATCTAATTCACTGCGTTCAAACGCAGAAAATTATTTTCCCCCTAGATCATTGCAAACTGTTTGCAAAGTGACAAAGTGAAATAGATAAAAGAAACGAACTTGTTTAATTTGTTGTAAGCGATTTTAGATGCCGGCTGACCTCAAATATTGTCAAAACTAATTGCGCCAAGTTAAACGTTACGACATCAATATAACAATATATACATGAACAAATAGCATTAATACTATTATAAACCTAAATTTTGAGATACTAGCAATCTTTCCTCCATATTGTCTTTGATATAACCGTCTTTTAATAGCTAGACCAACGGCCGCGTCTTTTAAACATTCGGTCTTTAATGATGCGGTTAGCTTCGGCTGAAGCTCCGCCTGAGCGCAGGGAATGTAAACTGAACTTAGAAACATCTTTGACATGAGGAGCTAAAGCTTTATGAAATAAATCTCTCAGAGTAGAATAAGAAATGTGTTTATTAACAAGTTTCGTTTTATGCCCAATTAAAGTTGCACTAAAACCACAGAAAATAAAAGAACTTGAATCAGTGGAAAAATAAGCCCATAAAAATATTTTTTCCAAAGTTTTAACTGGGCACAACTCTGCACCAGTTCTTGCTATAACGAGCCAAGCACCGTCCCTATAACGGTCAGTTTTCCTTGCTTGATTCTATGAAAACATCCATATGAGTACTATGTAAAACAATGTCATTATAATGTAAATTTAACAATTCCGAACTCCTTAAAAAACCGGAGAAGGATAAAAGTAATGCACAAATAGTTCTCTGTGTAAAAAACATTTCCTTCTTCAAACAAACTGTGATACATAGACTGTAATACGGTTCTTTTTTATTAATAGGTTTAGCTAAAATGCGTTTAGCTGCCTCTAATATGTTAAGAACAATGTTAGAATTAGTTGGAGAACTAAACTTATTAATGTCATGAAACCACTTAATGCTGTAAATGCCGTTATTATATGCCTACAAGAATTAACACTTTGTATCAATGACGTAAGATATAAAGCCAACGGAAAATCCCCCGCGGGCAAAATGTCCCTACTACCATGACCGTTAGATAAAGCCCATATCCTCCATCTCTTGAAAGCATTTGTATAGTTTTTGAGCGTGCTGTCAGCTCTAGACTGGAGGAGTATATTCGGCTGTAGAGTCACTTTGTCCACCAGGATCTCCGGCAGGCTATCTACCTCGTCACGGTGGCTCTGGAAAAATAAATGTATAATCATACTTTTTAATTACATGAAAACTTGATTGGTGTAAAATTAATAATACATATATATAAAATTAAGAAAACACTCCTTAAACTTAGTCTTAAGAAACGAAAATTAAACATTTTTAAAATACCAAAACAATAATTCGACAGACGAAAGTGTCTATATACGAGCGTATATTAACATCTTAATTACTAAAATTTATTTAAAAAAAAACTAAACAAAAATATTCTTAACATATGTATGTCACTATAAGATAAATACCAATGAAATGCTTAACTTAGTAAATAC